GTGAGGTGAGGGCGAGGGGAACAAGAGGACAGATCAGGACTCTGTGTGAAAGGACGTTTCAGTGTTTTTTTCTCTCTTGTGCTGCAGTAACTTCGGTACGACATGGTTACGACATCAACGCTTTGTGATGCAACAATAAAGGCGGGTGACCAGGATCGTCAGGTGAGTGAGTAGAGGCAGGTGAGGTGAGGCGAGGGGAACACAGGGACAGATCAGGACTCTGTGTGAAGAGACGTCAGTGTTGTGTCTTCTCTCTTTGCTGCAGTGAACTTCTGGTACGACATGGAGTACGACATCAAGTACAACTACTTCCAGCTGCTGGAGACGCTGTGTGAGGTCACGGGGTCGACGTGACATCACAGCAGCTGCGTGATGTCACAGTGGCTGTGTGTGTTGGATCTAAATTTCTGAATGATGTTAAAGTTAATTAAACTCACAACATGAAACAACGTCATTGGTTCGTCTCAATATGAGCTCGTGTCGCACCTTGTGCACAGCTGTGTCGTGCCACCACCTCAGTATCCTGTGCAGCATCCACGACCTCCTGATCCACCCACTCACAGAAGAACTGGACTGAATGATTGAACTGGTGCAGACTGGGAAAACAAGGAAGTCTCTACATGTGGAAGAGATCACATGATCAGGAGTCACTCTCACCACTTCGCGTGTAGAGAAGAAGAAGAGCAGAGATGATGAATCTCAGAGACTTCAGCAGCTGTCAGTCAGTGATGCAGCAGGGACTTCAGTCCTGTTCAGTCCAGATGTGCAGCAGCTGTGTAGCGTAGCCTGCTTCCTCTCAGCTCTCATGTTAACGTGTTGGAGTGAACACTGAGCTGGAAGCTCACAGACCTGAAAATATTCAAACCAAACCTCTGGACAGATGTTAAAGGTCCTACTTGTCTGGACAGAGATCGTCCAATCACAGGCCACGGCTCACACAGTGTGAACTCCTGACTGGTAAAACTGCTCAGAAAAACTCATGAGTTATTTTTCCCTCCACTGACATCAGCTGTGTCACTGGAGGGAAAGTTGGATCAGATCCTCATCACTGGATCCCAGCACACACAAAACAAACTCTGCCCCCTGCTGGTTCTCTAGTGGAACATGTGACGCCTGTTGTAAGGAAAGTTTTGTTTGATGTATATTTGAACTTGTAAAGACAGAGATCGACCTGCACACCCAACTGTTTCCATCCTATAGGTTATAATCTGAAACTTTTCCACATTAAATGACTAGATCTATGTTATATATGTTGTTGTGTTCTGACATCATCACAAATGTTTCCATAAATTCTCAAATCTGAGAAATCTGTGATTTTAATCATGGTAATGCGCCGTTTCATTGGTCGCCTGTTGATGACATCACATCCTCTATGACCATGTGTCAGTGTTGTGTTTGTCTGACAGGATCAACACTGACTTTTATCTAGTTTAAAGTCACATTCACTTTTTACATCTTGGTGAACATCTGGGTCATAAACATCTGGGTCTGTGATGGAGAGCTGAAGCTAGAAGAAGAAAAGTCGTCAACAACAACAACAGTGTTACTAAACTGAGGTCTGAGCTCTGAAGCAGGATCTGAGGTTATCAAGGGAACCTCAGGTTTAACTCTGGGGTTTTAGTCCTAAAACAGCTGTTCACTTGTTACCAGGGTAAATCACCATGGGAACTGATGCTAAACTCCTAACGGATCAAATCAAAACCTGTCAACAGCCAAACTACTGACCAATTAGATCACTGGAAACACTGAGTCATCATTCCTACAGGATCCTGACAGGGACCAAAGTTTAGAATTAAGTCAATAATAAAGATCAGTAAAATATTTGTATTGATCAGTGGATATATAACTGAATTCACCTGCAGCGTTTCTCTTATATTATTATTTATTAATTGATTCTGTCGATGTTGCTTATAATGAAAAACTCAGCCTCTTTCACATGCACTCGTACCTGAACAGGTACAATAAGTATGATAACCAGCTTCTTAGTACAGGTTGACGGGACAATGTTAGATTTAGTTAAACCAGATAACTAAAAGTTATCCTGGGTCTGTTGAACCTGCTTCGTTCAACATGACAATATTCACAGTGAAAAACACCAGCGCTGATGATTTGATTTTCCTCTCAGCGTTGGTCTGAAGCAGGAGACAGAACGTTTCTGAATCTGAAATAAAGATGAGTCAAATCTTTTTTTCTTTTTTTTTTTTTTTTAACCCAAACATCCCATGAGAAAGCACTTTATTAAAGCAAAACATCTTTTAACAGCAAAAAGCAGAACAGCCAGCAGACAGAAACCAACAAGCATCAACCCAGATATTCTTTTTTCTATAATCTCTACAGTCCAGTTTTATATTGCATCGTCTCCGAGACACTCAAGGCCACTTCCCTCTTTTCCCTTCCTGAAAAAACAATAATTAAAACATCAGTCCCGTTAAAGGTGATTATCACTCAGCTGCTGATTGAGGCACGAGTTCATGTTCAGGACTGAGAAACCAAAAAAAAAAAAACATCTCTCGTTCAAACACACGGCGCTCATAAACTCTGACTGATTTATGTACAAATGTAAACACAAACAAGGTGCAGGTAAAGTCCACCGACTCTCGATTCAGCCTCGTCCCAAACAAAGACCATGCCCTCTGAAGCTCCGCCCCCTCACTCACCTGGCGATCAGGTGGTCTGAAAAGTTTCTGATGATTACAGCCAGCGTCCATGTTAATCCATGATCAACGGTTTAGTCCACAAACGTCAGAAAACAGTGAAAAGTGCACATCACAAAGACGACGCCCTCAAACGCCTCGTTTCCTCCACAGAATGAGACGAGTGATTGAAACGTGTGAAAAGCAGCAGATGATCAGATACATGAACAACATGATGATCAATAACACGCGGAGCTGATTCTCTGTCTTTGCATCATCATTCAAATCAGTGACCTCACTTTGACATTAGTCTATTGACAGGAAATGACTGTGCAACTCTTCTGATAATCAGTGAACAGTTTCAGTGATATTAAATATTTAACTTCCTGCTTTTCTGAATCTGTTGTCAAAGACCGACATGAATCAGATGAAGAGATGATGGAGAATCTCCCGGACGATGAGACGAGCAGACGGACGAGTGTTTGTGTCGCTCACTGAGTTGAAGTCGATGCAAAGATCAAACTCAGCTGCAGCGTCACAGACCGATCCCACAAACTCATTTACAACCGCGTTATTTTGACGGGAGTGAGACCTCAGGTCACGTGACCCAGCGGGAACACACGACACAACAACCTCCACTCAAGCTCCACTTACTCTGTTCTGCAGCTTTCAGCCATGTTACACAGTCTTCATCAGTTTTCTTTGTTGTAAACAAACATCAAAACTGAACTGAGCTCCTGCTGATGAAGACCATGTGAGAGATTTGAAAGAAGAGCTGCAACCTTTAGTCACTGAAATGATGACTTGACAGGGAAGAAATTGATAATTGATAAATGTTCCTGTTCTCCAGAGACTGAAGCTCTGAGAGGAAGACCCAGCAGCTCTGGTTGAAAGCTGCAGGAAAAGTGGAGACTGTTTGTCAGACGTCATGCAGGTGAAGGACAGCACCTGTGTTCAGCTGGAGTCATGTGACCACATGAAGTAACAAATTATTCTGAACCAAACAAACGTCTGACATCATCTGACTGTAACACTGATTTCAGGTCAGAACCTGTTTTAATTTGAAAATATCTTTAGTTTCCTGAACGAGATGCTTTTATCTTGGTGAAGCAGCTGCAGACCCCGACAGTCAGAGAAGAAGAAGAAGAAGAGTCCTGGCCGGGACTCCTCCTCCCTCCCACTGCTTCATCACTAACGAGGCACTGATGCGTTAAGGAGCTGCTGCTGTGACCAGAAAAATGATGATGACAGGTAAACGCTCAGGTGATCAGGTGATCAGGTGGGGGCTGTGAGGTGAGGTTTGAGCAGCAGGGGGCGCCATGCTGCTGCTGGTTCAGATCTTCCTTCAACAAACGGAAGTTTTCCTCCTAATAAAGAGTTTTTAAAGCTGCAGGTCGATTCATCCACCGACAGAAAATAATTTTCATTTATTCAATGTGAAACTTTCAGGTGCGTCTGTTTCTCAGGTGTCACAGTGACGGCTTCTCTAGGTTCACACTGATGGTCATGTGAGTCCAGCACCGTCAGCTGTTCATTCATCAGTAATGAAAATGACCGGTCACTGCAGCCCTTCAGTGTTTTAAGGAAAATCTGACCTGCAGTTGCATCATGGGAGCAACACACACACGCACGCACGTACACACACAGACACACACACACACTCAGTCATCATCGTGGCTCCTCCTGTAGATCGGCACGTTGATGCTGTGAAACGCAGGTACCCAGCGGTTGTCATGGAGACCCACATTGCAGCCGGGCGCGTCTCTGTGGGCACCGTGGCAACACATCCAGTACCCGGGGCCGTACGGCAGCGCCTGGCAGTACGGCTTGTGGTGCCACCGGCACAGCGACACGTCGCCGCGGCCGTACCGCTTCTTGCACTGCTTGCAGGGGTCGTCCCGGTAACGAGGGTCGGACACCCAGAGCGAGTCGGCGGGCCGCACGCCGTAGTTCTCAATGACGAACTTGAAGTAGTGGCAGGTGCACTTGAGCGCGGCGAGGCTCTGCGTGGGTAGCAGCAGGAAGATCTTGACCAGCAGGTGATGCGGCAGCACGGCCAGGTACGGCTGCGGCTCCAGCAGCTGCTGCAGCCGCTGACGCATCTCCAGGAAGTCCTGCGACACCGACGCTCGCCGGCCCAGAGGCACTGCGGCAGAGCAGGGACTCGCACCCACAACCTCCCCCTCCTGACCCCCACCAGATTTTCTCCACCTCCTCTTCTCTGACTGGCTGCCAGAGTGAGGGGAGGGGCTAACAGCGTGGGGGCGGGGCTGCGAGGGGGCAGGCTCCTGGTCAAAAGTCGTTCTGTGGTGAGGGGGGCGGGGCTCTGAGTCTTTGGGGGGAGGGATAGAGTCTGTACAGGCTGAAGCAGCAGGAGGCAGAGACAAAAACAACAAGCCGGGTACAGGCTCCGCCTCCTCTGGCTGAGGGGGCGGGATCACAGTCTGACTCTCTGTGACAGTGCTCTGTGTCTCCAGAACCCCGCCCACCCCGACCTCCTGAGCCTCACCTGAGAGCGAAGAGGGGGGCGTGGTCAGAGGTGAGGCTGTTTCTGAGCAGCTGATCGGCTCCCTGCTTGGACTCTGAGCTCCCGGCAGTGATGATGATGATGTCATTGATGATGTCACAGATGATCCCTGGTCCCCGGCGGTGAGCAGGACTCGTCCCACCATCCTCCTCAGGCTGTTGCTCCTCGACAGATCTCCCTCCGTCTTCCTCCTCAGACACTCCGACTCCAGCTTTGCCACCATGTCCGACACCTTGACGCTCTCCGGCTCCTCCCCCCTGACCTCTGACCCCTCCCTGACCTCAGATGGTGGAGATCTGGACAGAGTGATGGTGGTGGAGCTCCTCTGTAGAGCGAGGACAGGTTTGCAGTCTAGCTGCTGCTCGCTCGCCCTCTGCTCCAGGAACGCCACCATCTCCACCACCGAAACCTTCTGCTCCTCCTCCTCTGCCGCTGTCACCGCCTCGTCTACACACCGCCTGCCGCCTGGCGTCTGAGTTGAGTCTGAGTGCTGTGGAGACGAGTTATGGTTGTGTTGCTGTGCGTCCAGGACCTGGGTCCTCTGGTCCTGCTGGAGGTTTTGGTTCTGGTTGCTTCCAGACCTGCGGCGCCGTTTGGCGCTGCAGTTCTCCTCCCAGCTCCCCTTTGCCTTAACGGCCCGTGTAAGTCCCGACATGGTGGTGTGGTTCGTGCACACCGGTGGCGCCCTGTCCCGGCCACCTGAGCTGCTGGTTGAGGTGTGTTCGCTGCCTCTGGCTCCGTCTGTCCGTCCCTCCTCTGAAGCAAAGATGGCGATCTTCTCGCGGACGTGTCCGGGTTTGATGACGGTCCAGATGTCCAGCGGGGCGTCCACATCCTCTGTGGCGGTCTGGTACAATCTGAGTGTGTCGTTCTCGCAGCCCGGTGGCGGGGGGAGGAGCTGCAGAGTGATGCTGGATGACGCCCTCAGTCGCAGCGACGCTACGTTGCTGCCGATGTTGCCGTTTGTTGCGTTGCTGCAGCGAAGCGTGTTGGTGGAGATGACGCTGAATGGGAGGCGGCTGCTGCTGATGTTGCCATGGTTACTGCTGCAGGTCTTCAACAGCGCCCCCTGCTGGCTCACAAACAGACTGCTCCGCTGGGACGATGTCTGAACACCGGCCGCATCCAAACGCAACTCAGAGCGCATGAGCTTCGGATAAGACTTCAGATGCATGATGGTCCTGAGAGAGAGAGAGAGAGAGAGAGAGAGAGAGAGAGAGAGAGAGAGAGGAAATATTACTCCATACATCTTGTATATATTTCATCTCCAGGTTTCATCAGAGGTGAAGAGGATCACAGACTTCAGACTGACTGCTACTGCTCTGGGCGATCTTACTAAGAGCCAATTTGCCATGAATTCTGGGTAAACAAAGACTTTTTTCAAACTAAAAGTCAGTCAAACTTTTTATTAGACTGAGGTCAAGTTAGTCACAAAGACAGAGATGTCTCATGTCTCATATCACCGGTTACATTTATTCACCTGTTGCAGACAGACCTGACCTATGACATCAGACAGACCCTCTGACACAGATCCAAACATGGCCGACAGCGTGTGAGTCTATGACAGTGTGGCAGTGAAGTGTTGGTTTGACTAACAGACACTTCAGACCTTTCAAGGACAGATTTCTCAGCAGACGCCTGCTGACTGAAAACACACACACACACGCACGCACACACACACACGCGCACGCGCCGCGTTATTATCAGAGCTGCAGATGAAGAATGCCTTATAAGCACTGGTTAGTGAGAGACACACTGAGACTCAGAGGGTGGATCCAGCTGCTGGAGGACACTCACTGGTTTTACTGGAACAGACTGTTTCTAGAACTGGTCGTTGCTCCTCAGCTGCTGCAGGACGAGGACTGGGTGTGGGAGTCAGCAGCTGTTTTGCTAACATGTTGGAGTACGTCCACAGATTCAGTCTAAACATTAAAGACATCTCCTGCTCTTGGTTTCACCCCCACCCCCCCACCCCCCCACCCCCAAACTCTGATCTGTGTGATGACCTTTGACCTCTCTGACTTCTTCTGTGATCCATCAGTTAGCTGCTGTGATGCAGCTTTGTTTGACCGAAAAGAGATTTACTTGTTTTTACGTTGTCCAGGTGTTTGACTGTGGAAACAACCACGTTATGAACTGTTACTGAACAGGATGAAGGCCACATGCGAAAAACATGTTTTTAGAGAAAAAAAAAGTCAGAAAAAAAGTTTCACATGTGGCCCTCATCCTCTTCCGTAGTTTGTGTCAGTGTCACCTGGTGGACAGAAACTTCATGTAGCGTCTTCGTTTTCCTCCGACCACATGTACAGACATGTGCAGGAACACACTTCAACTTTTTAACTACGGGATTACATCATGATGAAACACACACACACACACACACACACACACATTACCTCAGCTGTGTGCTGCTCTCAGTTCAGTTTGGATTGGTTCCCACACACACACCCAGTATGAACATCTGAGCTCCACAGACTCACCCAGCTGCTGTAAGTAAAACAATATTTCTGACGACTCAACAGACTGTGGACTGACAGCTGACCCCTCCCCTCACTGACCACCTGACCGCCAGCTGGTGGCTTGTAGCAGTTAGCAGTGAGCGGGGGGGCATCAAATTAATTGAAACTGGTACGAACGACAGCCAGTGTGATTTCATGTCATACTAGACGTGCTCTGATTGGTTGGTTTGTAGACATTGGTTGGTTGTCAGTTGCCAGTTGATTTTCTGTTGATTGATCATCGTGTGTAGCTGTAAAGATACAAATTCACAGAGATTTTAATCTTTCTGACTTTGTTCTTTATCAGCAGAGACATGAAGAACTGGAATTATGCCTCAGTGAAAACACAGGTAAATGTGAGAAAGGTGTTACGGTCTGAGGTGTCGATGCAAACTCCTAAACCTCAACAACATGTCGTGCTGACAGACCGAGCCAATTCCTGTCACGGTTTGAAACAGGGAGGGTATAAAAGACGGGGTCGGGTGAGCGCAGCCTGTTGCAGCATGTTTCAGCCCCGACTGTAACATATTTTCTGATCAGCCATTTAAAGTCCAGTTCCTCACTGTCTGAGCTGTTTCACAGACTGAAGCTGGTTCGTGTTCACAGGTCTTTCCTTTAATGTACTGAGACTGACTCACCCCTCCACAGCTGTGTGGTGTGACCTCCGACCTCTCTCCGCTCTCTCAGTGGTTTATGTAAGTGTTTCTGTCTCTCGTTAGCCTCTCTGACTGCAGGTTGTGTAATTCTAATTGTTCCCAGTCGCAGTGACGACGACACGCCTGCAGCGCCGCCGTCATTCACACTTTACGACTACACATCAGACTTGAAGCTCAAAATGTTCTCCGGTCATAAGGTTAGAGTTAACATGACTGAAATAAAGTTGAGAAGAAAACGACAGATTTTCCAGGGATCTTCAGTTTTATGTAGAAAAAGGATTTGAAAACATCTTCTGTGCGGCTGAGATTCAAAGTTCATTCATGGAGGGAGAAACCGTCAGTGTAGGATTGTGTAACTGCAGTGACTCATGTCTTAAACAAACACTAATTTTTTCATTATGTTACATCATCAGTGATGTCACCCTACAAACTAGAAACATCCACTGCAGGTTTTAAAGCTGGAGACTGGATCAGTTCACACACAGATCACAACAATACCATCGAAATGATAGTGACATCAGTTTACAACTTCATTTACTGCATCATTTTTCTTTAAAACTCAAATATAACGAGCAGGTAATTAATAATTGTAGCAACTAACACTTTCTCCATTTCCCTTAATGAGTACCAAACGGCACAGGACTTGAAAAGATCCTGGTAATTAGCAGCTAAATAAATACAGAACTTGTAAAACAAAGTGTTACCACAGGTTTTCTTCTTTAATCTCCTGAATGGTTCTGGACATAGAAAAGGACCGGATAACAGAACCATCATACGGGTTCATGTTTCTCTCTCTTTGTTTCTGATTAATCCATTTTTTCTGTCACTAAATACTACAATACCAACGAGCCTCAGCTGCTGTTGCCGTGGAGATGGGGCCAGTCAGAGGTCCAAACATGAACTGATTCAAGCTGCTGAACATGAGGTTTCTACAAACTGTGAAATGCAGCTTCAGTAACAAAACATGAAGCTCTGTGATTGGCTGTTTGTCAGTGAAATGCATCTTGGGAGTCACAGTCACAGTTTACCTCCAGGCTGCGTGCTGATTGGTTGGTGGTGTGGGGGGGCGTGGTCCTGGTTAGAGTGACAGCTCCTCTGGTCCTTCAGTTTCACATCGCTCAGACGTTCACTGTCACCCCCCCCCCAGACAGGAAACAAAACCAGACCCCGTTGGTCCTCTGAGTCCTTAAACCCCGCCTCCTCGGCAGTCAGGACGCACAACCTGCACGAAAACACACACACATCATCAATAAACACACACACACACACACACACACACACACACACACACACACACACACACACACAATGTGTAAGTCAGTGACTGTGTATAAAGATGGCCGATGTCTCCTCTTCCTCCCACTGGACAAAAATGAAGCCAAAATGTCCTGGGTAGAGGCGCTGCCATCTTGTCCTGCTGACATCACGCAGAGGCGAAATCTGTGCTGTGGTGATCAGAGAGTGGCGCCATGGTATTGAGGTCCCGCCCACACACCCGCTCAACCCAATGGTGCTACTGAGACATCACGTCCAGGAGAAAAAAAGGGACGGACGGCCATGACAGTCGCTGGTGCGGAAGAATAAAAATGAACTGACTGAACAAACATCAGTGTGATGAGAACGACCTGAACATGTAGACTTATTAGTTTGGCCTGTGTCCCCACATGGAGGGGGCGGGGTTTACGGCCTGTGCTGCAGACAGCCAGCAGGTTATGGTTGATGGCAGACGCTTTGGCTTCACTTCAGGGAGCTGTGATGTCGTCCATCTTTATACACAGTCACTGGTCTGAGGCCGCCACATTGGACCGGGCGAGACTGAGGACAACGGAGGAGCTGCAGCGTTTTCTGGATAAAAAACTCTATAACTTTTGTGTTTCTCAACTGATTTCAATGAGTCGTTTTATATTCGAGGGTTTATGATCTACGTGGAGGAAAATAAAAGTAAATAATAAAAAAATATATGTGCTGGTCCACAGCCCTCGTTCTATTATTATATATGATGATAACACGACAGAAACTCATCTCTGTCTGATGGAGGGAAATAAACCTTTAACTGGTGGAAACAGGCTGCTGGATCCTCTGGACTCTGTGTGTGTGTGTGTGTGTGTGTGTGTGTGTGTGTGTGTGTGTGTGTGTTGGACCACAACAGCAGCACATGGTCCTGTAAGTGACACCCAGCAGCTGCTGTCACACTCAGCTCTGCTTACACTGTGTGTGTGTGTCACCGAGCCAATCAGCTGCTTGTACTGTCTCCTTGTGTCTATATAAGGCAGTGGGTAATCAATATGTCTGGAATGCCCACTCTGCCACACACACACACACACACACACGCACACACGCACACACACACGCACACACACACACACAGAGGAGGAGAAGAGACAGTTTTCTCCTGCCGTGTCTCACACTTGGACAAAAACAGTGGAATTAGCTCATCAGCTGATCCCAGGTGACACTGGGTAATGGGCGGGCTACACATGGACAGGTCACCTGTCAATCACAGAGCTGACACATAGGGACAGACAAAGCCCTCACAGAGAAAGAAGCAGTCAGCTGATAGTAGCTTGAGGTGACGCCACAACAAAACACAGAAGTCTTTGGTCAGTCCTGTGGAGATTATATATATAATAATGATGCAATTCCACAATAGCGTTAAAGTTTTCAACATGTTTGTGTTGTTTGAGTACAAATTTAAATGAAAATGCAAATAGATGCAATAAATTTTCACATACCTGCATAAGACTGAAAATGAAAAACATCAAATGCCATTTTGATTTTCAGATTGTTAAAAAATTGCATTTTCATTTCCAGCCCAGTAGAGCGTAGTGACATGTAAATGAAAATGCCAATTAATGTTTTACATATTGCATTTAAATATTTGTCCACTGTCGAGCAGGTGAAGACTTTAGAAATAAAATATCAAAAGCCTTTTTCATTTTCAAATTGTTAAAAATCTGCATTTTAATTTTCGAATTTGAATTAACATTAGAATATTATCATCTGAGCATCAAGGTGTGACTGTTCACTTTAATATGGTCCTAGAATGCCCACACAAGTGAAAATTAAAATTATAATGCTAACAATGCCACAGTCTTCAGTTGTCACTTCCTGTCATCTCTCATCTCTACACTGCAGTGTAAAGCTTGGGGTGTTTGCAGTGGACAGGGGTGGTTCTGATCCAAGTTGGGAACCAACCCAGATTCATTAAACTCCTTAAACTAAACGAGTGTCCTGTCCAAACTTTCATTCGTTCATGTCTGTTTGGTCTCCGTTGCCTCTCATCCGCAAAGAAAAACAACATGATGTAAACAAACATGTGAACACTCAGCAACACTGTTGTTACCAACAAACATGGCGGAGCAGCTCAAAGGTTCAAAGGTCAACAACACAACTGAGACTGTGGGCGGAGCCACGAGTCTGTTTAAATATGAACATCTATATTCAATTTCTAAATATTAATATCTATTTATTCATCAGATTTCTGGTCTCTTAACAACAACAACACTGTATGTTAGAGACACACTGAACTGGACGACCCAACCAGCTGTGAGTCATGTTTCTGTTTACAAGCCTGTGATTGGTCGAAGTGAAGTCGCAGTTCCTCTGTGTTTCAGAGAAATAAAACAGTCTGAAGCTTGTTTCAGCCTGTTCAGCCAGACAACCACACCCTCTACTCAACCACAAGGCATGCTGGGAAAACACCAACATGCGCTGTGTGTGTGTGTGTGTGTGTGTGTGTGTGTGTTGAGAGCTGCACGATGTGTTTCTTAGAGAGAAAAAGACACAGAGCTTCACAGACTGACCAAACTGGTTTTCTGTTTATCCTAGCGCGCGCGCACACACACACACACACACACACACACACACACACACACACACACACACACTTAGCAGGTTCATAACATATCTGACTGTGATTTGATGAGCGGGAGAATCACAGTTGCTTAAAAGGTTAATTGCATCATTAACTGCAGAGGAGCTGAAGAGCAGCTGAGGAAATTGATCAGATCAAATCTATAGAGCAAAGTCAATTCCTCATCGTTGAGGATCCATCAGGTTCTTCTGATCGAGGAAAAGAAACAGTTAAGATACAATCAGAGGTGCGGTAAGTTCTCCTTAGTTTGGTCACTACGGTCTGAACTGACTTTAAGTGATTCCTTCAGTATAAGACGAAAATACGGAGAAAACCTTCAACACTTGAATGAACATTTTAAGGAAATCTTAACTTCAGATGCTTTGTGTAACCGGCCCCTGCTCGCTGCTGATTTGCTGCTTTTCTTTGTCATATTCATCATCAGCTGCCACTATCACAACTGTTCATATTATAAACAGCTACAGAAGAATAGATATAGAGTGAATGAACACTTCTTCAGCCTCCAGACTGATGTTGGAGGTCAAAGGTCAGAGGTCAGTGCAGCCGACACTTCAGCCGGCTCTGCAGGAGCTGTGTGACAAACTGTTCTTCAGACTGATCAATACATCCACAGATCACGAGACTCTTGAAGCTGCTTCCAGCGTTGGTTTACACCGAGTCTGATCCTGCACCGTGCCGACTGAACGCCCGCTCTCATCCTCAGCTGTTCTGAGCTCAGCTGGACTCACACAGGTGGAAGTAAACAGTGTGGACGGGCTGAGAGCTGATTGGGTCATCACAGGACAAAGGTCAAAGTGCAGCTGCAGAGCGTATTTACAGGAACGGCTCCTGATCACCTGAGATCAATAAAATAAGACGATGTGTTTGTGTCCAGACCGACACCACATGAATATAACACACAGACTGAGCCACTGAACCGGACCAACTCATCCTCAGAGTCCAGCCTCTCTTCACTGCTTCTCTCTGTCTGTTGTGATTGGCTGTGACAGGTAGCTCCTCCTCTCGGCTGCCGACGAGTATCACGTAGGTGATTAGCGATTAGTCGACTGAATGATTAAATGATGCTGGTCTCCCCGCCCTCTGCCTGGATGTTGTAAACCAGTGAGGTGTAAACTGGGACAGTGACGCCCGGTGAAACCAGTGCTGGTTGACAGGACTTAGATCCAGAAGAAGTCAAATAAGTCTGTATGTAGCTGTGTCACAATAAACCGGAATATAACCACTGGACTGGAGCGATGAGGAACCACATTTAGCTCAGGTATGATAACCTGCGAGGTAAGGAGGCTGCTGGTGCTAGCACGGCTAACGTTAGCCACACACCGCTTACCTGCAGATGCTGTGATCCTGATGAAACTGTTTTCTACCTCTCAGTCTCGTCGACTGTTTTTTAAATTTAAATTTCTGTTTAATGGACGGAGAAATCAACATCTCTACTCCGTCAGAGCGCAGAGACGGAGACGATAACAAACAGAGTCAGAGTCAAACATCCCAACACGTGGGAGAGTGACAGTGGAGATTTTATAGGTTCCTGTCACTGTCACACACTGTTTGAACTGCACGTTAGCTCAGTTAGCTCAGTTAGCTCTCTTTAACACTGTCTGTGGGCCTGAAACCAACAGTTACATTCATCAGTATGTTCCAGGAGTTAAAACTAAATATGGTGAAGCTGCCTTCAACCACTATGCTGCTCAGAATGCCTGAAGATCTCAGACTAGAAACAGCTCCAAGCACCTTAAAGTCTCAACTCAACTTCTTACAGACGCATTCAACTTTTTCTCTCTACTTTGTTTGTTTGACTGTTTTATTTCTGCTTGTACTCTGTTAAGCACTTTGTGTTTCCACTGGTATGAAATGTTCTACAGATACATTTGCGTTGCCTTTGCCTCAGTGGTCGTTCAGTCAGAAAACAGTAAAAATGTCCATCTGAGTTTCTCAGAGTTCAAGGTGACGTTTTCAAATGTCCAGTTTTCTCGAACCAACAGTTTAAAAGAGACTCAGTTTATTATCATGTGACGCAGAAAAGCCACAAACAGCAAATACTTCATCTCTTTGCTTAAAAAATTATAAAAAATCGATTATTCAGTTAACAGCGCTACCATTGGTAATCATTAATTATTAATTAAGTAATTTTTTTAAGCAAAAATGTTGAAAAGAAATCCTAAATCTGAACATTTGCTTCTTTTCTTAGTCACATAATAAACTGAATATCTTGTTTTTACAAAAACAGACTTCTGACGACGTCACCTTGGACTCTGGGAAACTGTGACGTGCAGTTTGATAATGTTTTGCAACTGATTAATAAATCAATGAGAAAATAATCAGCAGATTATTCCCTGATGGAAATAGTTGCAGACCTCACTGGCTGTTTCCTCTCTTCTGTGTGTTTAAAGTTAACGAAATGAAAAGAAAGAGATTGTTAACATTTAGTGTGTGTTCACCTGCTTTGCCTTCACACACCTACTGAACACGGAATATTTCCACACCGTCGGTTCTGGGTTCATTTTGACCCCGATACGGAAGACACAGCAGAAACTGGTGTTTCAGGTGTTTCGGTAACCAGTAACTAAACCGCAGTGACTAATGTTAACCAGTGGAAGTAACCCACGGCAGCAGGTTGATTTAAAGGGTCTGGAGCTAACAGCTCCGCTCTGTGGTCTGAAGCCCCAAACAGCTGCTGTGAACTTCAGTCCGGATCACAGGCAGACCCTGAGGCCTCTGCACCACCTCCACTGTCCGCAGCTAATGTCTGTTAGCATGTAGCTCTGCACCGACTCCATATGACGCGAGAACCGGTAACATGTACCAGAGCAGACGGTAAACAAACTGCCCATCACCCCGTTACCACCCAGACACCCAGTCTGTAACCGGAGCTGACTTCCGACTCAAACTTTGCTAGCCTCAGCGCTAACTAGCATGCTACTAGCCGCGGCCGTTTGAAACCATGATACACCTGGCTAACTGACTAGCCTCTGCGGCTAACAGACACAGAGCTAGGTGGACGGAAAAAGAGCGTCGACATTTGAAGAAACTAAAAGTCTTATTAAACAAACCTCCCCACGTCCCTGTGGGTTTGTGTTCAGGTTCAGACGGACTGTTGTAGCAGTGGAACCCACCGGACAGAGGCCGAGGGTCAGACTAACCTGCAGGGGAATCTCTCCGTCTCTGTCCGCTGGTGGCAGCGACGAAAAACAGCAAATCCCTCCGTTCCCGGTTCGTCCCGTTAACGTGAAACTCTGCAGCTGCCAGTTCCTTCGGTTAACTACAGATAAAATGTTGTTTTAAAATGTTAAATCGCGGTTTGAACGGAGCTCCGCCGTTCCCGAACCTGTCGGTTCCTCTGTCCGAACCAACCACTACTGACCGAGCACACTGACGTACAGCTGGGACTGCTGCGTCATGACGTAACGAAGCCTGCCAAAGATCGTCTATAAACATGAAGATGTGGTTATATTGGTTGTAAAGAGGACTGACTTTTATCTAAATCTTATTTTTCCTTGTTAAATATTACTCCAACAGGCAAAATGTAATAAACCATCATTTGAAGAAAAGATTAGTTGACTGATACAGTTTTTTTGTATGACTCCTTTATATTTAATGTTTTATTGTTTTACATTTCTTATTCATCCATTTCATTTTAGTTATATTATCTAATTATATCATGTCTAGGGCTGCAGCCAACAATTCCTTTCACTATAGATTAATCTGTTGATTATTTTCTCAGTCAATCGATTAGTTGTTTATCTAAAGAGCGTCACAGATTCCCACAGTCCAAGGTGACAGGTCAGGTCAGATGTCCTGTTTTGTGTGATCAACAGTCCAGCACAGATGAGGTTCAGTTTACTGTGACAGAAGTGGAGAAAGTGGAACCGGAGAATTTTGGTGTTACTTTAAAATCACCTCAAAACGATGAATTTATTATGAAAATAGTACATTTTCTGTCAATTGTTTAATCCACTTATTGTTGAAGCTCTAATTATGTCTACATTTTTGAAAATACTTACAATTGAATCTTTCTTTATTTTATTCACCTTTGAATTTTCTTTAATTAAATTTTTTCTCTTTCATTGCTCTTCTTGTTTCTACATTGAATTTCTATTCTGTGGATTTGATGAATTCACACTCTGGATGTGATGAAATGGAAATTTGTTTTGATCAATAAACGTGCAGTTGTTAGTTCTGTTTATTTTCACTATCACTTATTTTATATAAACCTGAATGAAACCTTGTGTATTTTGCTCCATGCATCTTTTCAGGTTTGACACATGGAGGAAGTCTCTGAGTGTTTTGGGTCACAGCAGCAGCGACAGAGTGAGACTCCCTCATATTTAATAATTTATCTGTGATCCGTCTTCAGTTTCAACAACAACAACAAAACCACACATTAAAACCAGGAGAACCAGAGCTCTCTTACAACCAGGGGTCAAAGGTCACAGCCAGGACTGTCCTGTCTTACCTCCACCTCTCCTTTTTTCCTTCGTTAGCTCGTTCTTTCCTTCTCTCCTTTTCCTCCCCTTTTTGTGTTTCCTTCTCCTCCTTTCCTCCCCTACCTCAGACCTGTAGCAGGAGGTATCTCGGTGTCGCCCCCTGGTGTCTGTGAACCACTTTAGTTAACAGATCCAGGATCAGCACTGACAGTCAAACAGTGACAGTTAAGGAGATCACAGAGTTACTAAACAGTCATTCACACAAATATGACCAGACAAAATAATACACTCATTTTACACCTGGTTAACACTGGTACCCTCACAAAGATAGAGATTCATGTGCACTGTACCTGAAAAAAATATAAAGTATTTCATATTTAAAATGATATGCTATTGTCTATATTAATATTATTTGTTTTTTTAAGAAAAGGTTTATAATATTGTAATAATATTAAATGAAATTATTAGATCTACAAAATATTCACTAGAAAATAATACAATGTCTATTTAAAAATACTATTTATTATATGATAATAGAATTCATTATTTAAAAGTAGATATTATTTACTATATGATAAAATATCCCTTTCACAGCACGGATAATATGAGTAAACTTCAGGGGTCAGAGGTCAGGGGTCAAGGTTTGGCCTTGTCCTGGTTTACAGATACAAACAAACATACACAAACTGCAACAGGTTAAAGATGAAACTTTATTTAGGAGTCACTTGAGTACAAACACAAGACAACAAGTAAAAGGGGATCTCCTGAGGATGGATCTACTGAGGATCCATCGAGGATCCCCTGAGAACCTTCTGTGGATGTTTAATGTATAAACATTTTATTCTGACTTAGCCAAGAATCATCTAAAGTGCTGCTATTTTGGATTGACTAAAGATCTACTGTGAATCTACTGATGATCATCTTCAATCATTTACCGTGAGGGTAAAGTGATGGTCCAATAGATCTCTGGTGGATCTCCAGTAGATTCCTGTATGATCCCCAGTAGAGCTCTGTGCGATCCCCAGTAGATCTCTTTATGATCTCCAATAGATTTCTGGTGGATATCCAGTAGATCTATGTGCAATCCCCAGTAGATCTATGGTGGATCTCTAGTAGATCTCTGTTTGATCCCCAGTCGATTTCTGGTGGATATCCGATAGATCTCTGTGTGATCCCCAGTAGATCTCTGTTTGATCCCCATTACATTATGGTGGATCTCCAGTAGATCTCTATGTGATCCCCAGTAGATTTCTGGTGGATCTCCAGTAGAGCTCTGTGTGATCCCCAGTAGATCTCTGTTTGATCCCCAGTAGATCTCTGTTTGATCCCCATTACATTATGGTGGATCTCCAGTAGATCTCTATGTGATCCCCAGTAGATTTCTGGTGGATCTTCAGTAGAGCTCTGTGTGATCCCCAGTAGATTTCTGGTGGATCTCCAGTAGATCTCTGTATGATCCCCAGTAGATCTCTGTTTGATACCTAGTAGACCTCTGGTGGATCTCCAGTGGAATGCAGGTGGATCTCCAGCAGATCCCCATAAGATTTCTGATTGATCTAAAGTAGATCTTTGTTGGATCTCCAGCTGTTCTATGACGGACACAGTATTAATATTGTGGTGGATTTCTTATGAATTAATTGACAGATTATTTAACAGATAGTTATGAACAGATGCCCCCCGCCCCAACCCTTATATCTGTGGTGGATCTGGTGACGTGTCTCAGGCTAAGGTCTCCATGTGGACCTTGGACAGGTTGAGGTCATAGTAGATGTTCAGTTTGTTGATGGATCTCAGGTCGGTGATCCGGTGTTTGAACTCCAGCAGGTGAGAGTTGTTGACGGCCACCTTAAACTCTCTGCTGGTGCACAGGATCTTCATCTGCAGCAACAGAACCACAAACTGTTACTGACGTGACAAATGTTCACGGACTGACCCTTAAATTCTGCGCAGTGGTGAAGACAGACCGAACTAGGACCTTACATTGAAAAGGTTAGTGATAAAAATGAAATCTGAGCATTTATTGATATAAAATCAATATTTGACCTCAAACGGCTGCCCATGGACGAAGGGGAAGTGCTGCAGGTCTCGCTCCTCTTTGCCCCACTTCTTGCCGATGCAGCTGTTCCTGACGATCACCTTCCTGCCGCTCTCATTGAAGCGAGGGTTGAAGTGAAAGGCCAGGTCATTCGCGGTGGACATATCCACTGTGATCCTGAAAAACGACAGAGACCGTCACTGACTTCTGAACCCACAAGACACTTTCACTGGATTATAGTGAGGCGAGTCCACCTTGTCTCGACTACAGCTGGTGCAGAACGCTGCGGTAGAGTCAGTAGCTGCCCCAAAACTTTGGAACAGTTTACCTCTTTTAATTGTCAACCCTCCATCAACATTTTTAAGACTAAACTTAAAACCCACATGCTTTCTTTGAATTTTGAGAGTCTCTAAGTTTTTATCTTTCACTTTTATCCCTTATGCTTTAATTTCAAACTGTTTCCTTCCACTTTCATTGTTTCTTACTGAACATACTGATCACTGGATCAATGTAACTACAAACCTTTCTCCATATTTTAACATCGTTACCAGGTGAGCAACAATAAAACATAACTGATAATAAGAACAATAGTTCATTCCCCATGTGTGACAGAAAAGGACAACAGAAATATTTCCATCCATCATCCATCATCCATCATCTGTCCATCCATCGTCCAACATCCATCATCCATCATCCATCATCCAACATCCAACATCCAACATCCAACATCCATCATCCAACATCCATCATCCAACATCCAACATCCAACATCCAACATCCATCATCCATCATCCATCATCTGTCCATCCATAATCCATCCATCGTCCAACATCCAACATCCAACATCCATCATCCACTCCTGATGTTAAAGTGTTGACACTGACTTGTCAGCGTTGGGTTTGACGGTTCCAGCGATGGTGATCAGCAGTTTGTCATAAACTCCACTGGGCAGATTCTGTTGGTACGGCACCGCCTGTCAACCAGAAACCACATCTGTCTGTTACTGTGTCTGTAACTGTCTGTTACTGTGTCTGTAACTGTCTGTTACTGTGTCTGTAACTGTCTCTCTGACTCACCAGATTCTGTTGAGGGGCAGTGGGGTGGGTGGGTCCAGGTCCAGGTCCAGGTCCAGGTGAAGGACTGGGCCATCCTCCAGGTGCTGCAGGTTGTGGGGAGGGGGAGGGCCAGGTGGGCTGGCTGGGGTTTCCTCCAGGCCACACGCCTCCACCTCCAGACGGACCTCCGGGCCAGGTGGGGTTGGCAGCAGGCGGCTGACCTGAGGTGACATCCTGTCTTTACCTGTCTTGCTTTATTCTGTATTTCACTGTTTCTGTTACTACGGTAACAGAGGGGACTCAACATGCACATTTCTTTCTCAGGTAAGTTTTCCACACATTCATGTTGGTTTGGTTCGAACATTTTGACCTATGAAAACCTCTTAACTCCATCAGCTAGAATAAGTTAAAAGATGGCATCATCAGCACGTAGGAGTTGTGGTGGTGAGGATGTTGGTGGGCGTACCTGGCCAGGTGGGATTGTTGGGTTGTCCAGGCCAAGGGCCGCCACCTGCGGATTGGTTGCCACCAGAGGGCCAATCACCAAGAGCGTCTGAGAGCTGCAGACACAGGAAGAGAAAAAAAAGTGAAGGAACATTGAAACGTGTGAGTGCAGTTCCTCTAACGTCCACTAGATGCTGCTGAAACCTCCCGTCTCTCTGTGCAGATACAGAGTCAGTGAAGTGTCCGCACAGGTCCAGACACTGAGTGGTTCTGATGGTTCATGCTGACATCACACAGTCTGGTGACTGATGAACTCTCTGCACGTGTCTCAGCTAAAATGAGACAAATCTGTGCCTGAAAAAACAGACAGTGCAAAAGCTGCTGTAGCTCTGTCCGAGCAGTCCCTGAACGCAGCGCAGCACACAGGGGATGTGTTTCAGGGCGTGTGTGCAGACTGAGGGTGTGTTCAGAGGTTGACAGACTCATCAGGAATGTTCAGTATGAGGGTGTGGGTTTTACAGATGAATGCTACTCTGTTGACTTTCATAATCCCCCCCACCACCACCTCCACACACACACACACACACACACACACACACACACACACACACACACACACACACACAATCTCCAGCTAAAGTGTGTGTATAGTGCGTCTAACTCAGGCTAACACACCTGGACGATCCCAGCAACTGTAGATACCTGTACAGTGTTGCTGTAGTGAAAGTAACATCATCCACATCCAGGGCTTCAGGGCAACAAATTATTGTTGGGCTCGTACTACATTTCAACCAAACCTGGGCAGGTGTGTGCTTTGCCCCGTTGGTGATCCAGCCTTGTCCACATCACTCAGTAGTGAAGTTTCCTCTTCTTCTGTGGTGGTTTAAACGCAGCGACTGGAGAATCATTCTGTTTCTACTCTTTCTATCTACCTCTGTGAGCACATTTTGGGGATTTTTCAGTTTTGTTTTTTTCAAGGAAATTTTTCAAATGTGATTAAAAACCGGTGGAAAGAAACACAGTGAAAGCTGTGTGCTTGTGTTTAGTCACAGTCTTGTCTTTAAATAGAAGGAGACTTAATAGAGACACACAGTAACTAATACAGGAAATGAATCAGAGGAACTTTAGAAACACAGACTTACATCCATCGTGCTCCTCTGCGATCTGAAACAGACGGAGAGAAAAGGGTTAAAACAGACGCAGAAGAGGAAGAAGAGGACAAAGTCTGTGGGTGTGGTGGGTGTCGGGTCCTGACACGAAGAGAAAAGAAACAGGACAGTCAACCTGAGAAGCGTTCATCACAACCACAGAGAAAGCACCAGGCTCATGTTTCTGCTTCTCATGAGGTCTGGTGAATGAAAACCTGAATTCTGTTTGATTAAAACTCATAAACTAAACTGGGCTCGTTCTTTAACTCAGGCCTGTCACTGGAGTAAAAGTAAAACTACAACACTGTAAAATACTCATCATCATCAAAAGTCCTGCACTCAGAGATTTAACAAAACACAGAGACGAGTTATCAGCATCATGTCGTCCACAAATCCAAAGGTAGAGCAGGAATGAGAGGTGGTGTCGTACAAGTACAAAGAGGCAGAGGATGAAAACTTGGTTAGGTCTAGTCAGTAAAATTACTTGGTTCAGTTTAGTCTCTAGAACTACTTTAGGGGATTCCCATCACGTCTTTACTCCACTGTGTCTGTGTTTACACTGTGTATAATTAATAAGTTATCCTGCTGTTCCTCTCGTGTTTCTTCCTCTGAACCTGCATTTAATTTGATGTATTTAATTCACTGTAAATCACAGGCAGGATTATGATCCATTACTTCAAATTCTGTGACTTGATCACATGTTTTAAAATGACATTACTCACAGAGTTAAGCTCAGTGGGTGTGTGTGTGTGTGTGTGTGTGTGTGTGTGTGTGTGTGTGTTTGTGTTTGTGCTCCTGTGGCTTGTGTTGGCGGTGGGCGGAGGAAACTTTCTCACGCACACACACACCAACAGCCTCCAGCAGGAAACACACGATCAGTGTTTGTCTACAGTCCACAGACAAACTCACTGCATTAAACTCCCCGTACAAAATGTTTTCCTAATTAATTTCTCATGATTGTTTTTGTTCTTCACAATCCTGGACCCTACTGTGTATAATATCAACATTTATCGACAGGCTGTAGGATTAATATATATTTATGTAACATATCTCTATAATATAAGTATTCATACATAAAACAAGCTTGACATATATGTCAATATATGAAGTTATTACAATTTCTACACATCTTTTCCCTCTTTACAGCAACAGAACAAACTGGATCACAACAACGCCACAGTTTCAAATTCATTTCCTGTTTCCTTT